TCAGGCGCTGGCCGCCTGCGATGCGGCCAAAGAGGTTTCGGCTGCCTTGGGCTCCGCTCTCGCCGAGGCTCGGTCTATGGGGGCCTTCTGCGCTCGGATTTTTTGTTTAGGGGTTGAGGGCCCTGAAGCACGTTAGGCTCGGAGGCAGGGGGGGTTGTTTTCGTGTAAGCTCTGTTTGGCACCAGGAGCTGGATGCAGAGGTTGTCACCCTGCGTCTCCAAAAAGAAGTCCTCGTTGTCGGATGCTCTATCCTTGAGGTTGGCATGGTAGGTCTGGCATGGTTTTGACCTCACGCAATGTGCTTTCCAAGGCCTAAAACCTTCGAGTCAAAAGGCCGAAGGCTCAGAGAATTACCTCCTACACCCCCCCACTTTCCGAACTCTCAGCCCCTAAACCCTAAGCCCTAAACCCTAAACCCTAAACCCACACCTCTGAACTCGTCAGGTCCTCTGCGTCGAGACCAGCCCCGAGCCCCGAGTTCTGGAGTTGCTGAGGCAAGGGAAGAATATTACTAACAATGTGGGTGACACATAAGATATAGTGTAGAGTATCCAAGCTAGTGTATAATGCATGTATATATACATACATACATACATACATACATACATACGTACGTACATACATACATACATACATACATACATACATACATACATATACGGTTAACCCGACAACTACCAAGGAGACGACCTATACACTAGCATCATGCGCCCTCACAACAGTCCTTTCGGCACTACTAACGGCTAATACTTCTGTGACGCCATCGGTGCTCGGACGGCGACGAAGACGACCACGACAACTGCGCAACGACGACGAGAACACGACCCCAGACTACAACCACCACAAATGCTCTTACACTGGCACATAGGCCCTGGGCATAAGGCGAAACTACAGAATACAGAGCTGAACGCGATGCCTGGGCTCTCCAAGCTCGAAACCCTAAACCCCAAGCTGTCTTGTACACCTTAAGCCCTAAACCCTGAATCCTAAGTTGCAGACGGGGATTCTGAAAAAAGTCCGAAGCTGCATCTCGTGAGGCGCCTGGTAGCCATGGAGTGGGTGCAGGCTCGATCGAGAGACTACCCAGCTCAGGGGTACCTTTTCGTTTTTTTAATGATACTTTCTGTTTTGATTCTTGAAGGGTCTCTGTGCTTTTAGCTAAAGTTAAAGTGGGGCGGGGTGGCTCGGAAGCTGCATCGCTGAACCGGAGGTGTCCGGCCTTGTGGCAGTCGTAGAGGAGTTGGTCGCTCAGCAGAAGGAGGCCCGCTGTCGAGTTGAACGATAGGGTTTAGGGTTTAGGGTTTAGGCTGCCTTGGGACTTGGCCCCTTTGTGCATGGGACTTGACCTTACCCCCAACAGCAAGGCCGCTTCCCCAATGATTCTCAAGAAACTGCCCAGTCACTGTATACCTCCCGACTACGGTAACATCTCTTCGCAATAGAAATAATAACAATAATCCTAACTCCAATGCTAGTACTACCCGGACGAAGTCCCCTTCAGTTTATAGCCAGAACCGGGTCGTGAATTCGCCAGGACGGCGAGCTGCCTCGCAGTTTGGCCCTGCTGGATCTGGCTGCCCAGTCTATGCCCAGGAGCGGACTCCCAGAGCCCTGATCCGTCACTAGAGTCGGGTTTAGGGTTTAGGGTTGAGGGTTTAGGGTTCTGGAGAACAAACATGTTTGGCGTCGCTCTCTATGTATCTATCTATCGATCTATCTATCAATCTGTATAATCTGTCTATCTATCTGTTTAGGTGTGTATCTATCTATCTACCAACCAATCTATCTAACTATCTGTCTATCTATC